CATAGAAAAAGCTTTTGCTAATCGTAAGAAAACTAAAAATTTTATAAATGTTTTAAATATTTTCATATAGTATTTACTTTGTGCTCTGGAAAATCTATATTTTTAGTAAAAATTCTATGACACCCTTAGCTGGACTTGCAAACTACTTAGGAATTAATTGATACCTTAGAAATATTGAAATAACAGTTTCAATGTTAGCCTGAATAGCCTTGTTGAGATCGTAGATATATTTGTTCACTTCGTTCAGTCACGTACCGATAATCTCTATAACCTCTTTTGATATTTGAATAAATTCTTCCTTTGCTGTGACTAAATTACAGAATTTATCTGATAATATAATCCGTCCTCAAGTCCAATCAATTGTCGATTTTCGGCGTTTTTGCGTCTTGAAACCTGCAGTTTATACCAAGCTGCCTCCGAATGACTGATAGTTTTTTATGAAGAGCTTTATTTCATATCAGAAATACATTCGGAGGGGTTGACATTCACTGTCGAGGGTCGATCGCAATTAGAAAATTTAATTTCAATTTTTTTTAAATTAATATTCCATAACTGTTTGCTTTTGGTCGTTTCAGACCTTCCAAATAGACGTACGCAATGCTAACCACACGGCTACCACTCGGCTAATCGCGGCTATTTCCAGTAACTGACGTGAAAATACATAGGCCGATCTATTATTTTGCAGGTTGCCAAGCATATTGGTGTTCAATAAAAGGTTTTGTATATATAGAGGTCGCTCGAGGAATGACAGACAGTTCGGTTGTGAAAAAATTTTTGTCGGTTTGAAAACTTTTCAAAATATAAGGATCTTTGCATACGAGCCAAATATAAATATATATTTATCTATCGGTATTTGTGGCCACAACAACCGCGCCGTGAGGTCTGCTTTCTTTAGACTTGATAAAGGAGCGAAGCGAGTAGGTCTGGTAGTGAATGAAGGCAAGACGAAATATCTCCTGTCATCAAACAAACAGTCATCGCAATCACGACTTGGCTCTCACCTCACTGTTGACACTCATAATTTCGAGGTCATAGATATTCTTGGAACCAGTATTAACACAGCATCGGATGTCTGAGTCGGCGTTAGGAGTTTTCAAAGACAGATTTTGCGTAGGATTTATGGTCCTTTGCACATTGGCAACGGCGAGTACCGTAGACGGCGGAACGAAGAGCTTGCTGTCCAGACCAACTGTCGAAATTATAGGAGATTAATTATAAATTAATGTACCTACTCTGTAAAAAAAGTAAACCCATCTGAGTGTATATCTGGCATGAAATAAAATCAATAGTTTGTTCCTCCATTTGGTAGAAAAATATTAAAACGCACTCTTCACATTGGACGTAGAGCTGGGTTGAAAATCTCTTAAGCTGTTTTTTATATAACATAATTTTTATATTACACTGATGGGTTGGGGATTCACGTTTCGTCATCTTTAGAATTCTGTACATTCTTCCCTTGACCACAACACTAAAAGCAAAGTTAGGTGGTTTTAAAGCTCTACGGTTATGCTTTTGTTAATACTTAGATCACAATAGTTTTCGGTTTTCAACCACCCGAATGAGTCACCAAGCCCTCGCGAGCATTGAGTTTCAACAATTAAACTATGAGCCGATCTAAAAGGAATTTTGCCTACAATTGAGATCTTATATTGTCCCTTTCGCACTGTATCTATGCTGCTAACTTGAAGCCAATATTTTTCCGTGGAACTTCAATAAAGTATACAGTTATGGGAAGAACAGTGTATCTTCAATGCCTGGGTTTTCAACAAACAGTATCATTTGAGCATTTAAATGCCCCATCTACAGTCTACTTAAGTTTGTTGGCAAATCTACTTCACACATCACTATAGTACGTAGTATAAGTACAAATAGCTGAAGTCGGTGAAGGTTGATTACACTAAATAAACGCGCGATCGAACGACGGCTAGAGAAACGAAAATTTTACTTAATGCTTAAAAAGAGACAATGATACAGAACGTAATGGCCCCGCCATTCAGCAGACAGAGGTGCACTTAGTGAAGAAAGACCAAAATATCTTCAATCAGCAATAACTACAGATGCGAAAACTTAAATTTTCTTACCAAAAATTGTATCACTGTTGGGCTTATATTATTCAAATTTTGAGTAAAATTTATTTAAAATTTACAAAAAAGGGCAAAGAAATATGATGACAATTTATTTTTATTTATTTATTATCCTTTAAGCCTAATTTTGTCCAAGAAATTAATCAATTACTATTAATAAATTCTTTGATTAATTCCGCTTCGGAATTGCTTATTATTTTCTTCTAAAATATAATTTATTAATATAAAATTTCAATTCCAAAGGTTGGATCGACAGTGCGATGAATAGAAATATATTTGAATATATGTATGTATCTAAGAGTAAGAAGTACTTATCATTTTTTTATATACTTTAAAGGCAAATTTTTTTTTTGTTATATATTGAGCCAAAACTGAAATAGCGTATTTTTTTTGCTTTAAAAATACTTCTTTTGCAAAAAAAAAATTACTCTTTACGGAATACAAAATTCATATATTTTCCATACAGCAAAAAATTATAAATATTTTAAAGCAAAAATAAAATATTGACGTTAAATTAAATTTTTAATTATATTTGTATTTATTTTAATTATTTCCTTATTTCATTATCAATTGAACTTTAAAATACAAACAAGACAAAAAAAAAAATAAAGATAAATAAATGAATAAACAATAAATAATGCATGGTAAATAATGTAATACAAGTAATTACCAATACTCAGCGCATAGCTACATACATATATATGAATGAAGGAAGAAGCTCGAAATACATAGGTCGCAGTTGAAATTTTTTTCTTTTATTTTTAAATTGCTTCTCAAAAAAAATGCCACTTTTCATTTATTCATTCACTCATTTATGCAGTCGAGCTCGCTCATTCATGTGCTCATTCATTTAAAGCATTTTGCTTTGCTGCACTGGTTCCCACTTCTTTCTATACTCGACCACTGATTGTGTTGCACTTTATTTTCGCCCAAAATTGCTATGTTTTCCGCGCATACTATAAACGAATGGCACATAAAAAAAATCTCAGAAAAAAAATGTTGGTATCTTGTGGAATGAAAGTGCAGAGAAATGCAAGAAATTCATCTTGAATGCCGGCGCAATAAAGCCAGCAGTTTCCGCATTCAGCAGCCGCTTAGTGCTGACCCTCGCCACCACTTCACCACATTGCAGGCGCACACATATGTATGCACTCATATTGGTTTACACATATGGAAGGATCTTGTTTCCTTTTACTCTTTGAATGTCGAGCGTCGTCCAACTAAGCTTTCAGCTGTTTCAAAGAAATGAAAAAGAAAAAATTAAGAGCAAAATGTGTATGCCAGTTTGCATAGATGTGGGTGTTTAGTTGCATGTGTGTGTCATCATATTTGTCGTCTAACGGTACTGGCATGCATCTACGTTTGGCTTGCTGAGAAGTGTGCACTTGCATGTGCTTAGCTCCGGCGGTTTATCTCACAATTTGGCTTAAACACACATCTAAGCGTCTCCCCCGGCATTCCCCTTAGGTCAGCGTCCTTGCCGACGCTTGTTTCTTTTCACTATCTAACAGTCTTTTTGCTAGTTTTTCTTCCTCTTTAAAATTTTTTCACTCTTGATTGCTGCTGCTTTTGGTGGCATGAGCACCAGCAGCACTGGCGTTTCTGCAATTCATTAGTGGTAAAAGTGGGCGTGGCATTTGGTAGTTGCCGTTTCACTGTTTTGCTGTTTTGCTGTTTTATAGTTTACAGTCTTATCGGCGGCACCGGCGGCACCGGCGGCGCGACGTCGCTGTGGCTCATTCAATTGCATGCTACAAAACGTTTTTTTTTTCAATTTTGTCGTTGTTTTTATAGCATTTTCTTCATGCTCTCCATCAGTGTTAGTCCACTGTTTTGTTCTATACTTTTTTCTTTCTATGGCTGCTTAGTTTTGCTTTGGAATTTGCACGTTTGATTTGTTTGTCGGCGCTTTTTTCTCGCTTGTTCATCTTCGTGCTCGCTTTTTCTTGCACCTTCCGCGTTTGCTTTTGGCATTTTCCTCTTATTCCTGTGGCGCCACATTGCAGCGTTTCCTCTTATTTCCTTTAAGCGCATATGAGCATATGTGTGTGTATATTTTTTACATTTCAGCTTATATGTATATGTACTTGGGTCATAAAATCCTGTCTCGAGTAAATTTTTCTTTTTCAATTGAAAGCGTAGTTTAGTCTAGTCTAGTGTTGTGTAGATTGCATGTCATTTGTGCTGTTGTTATTGTGTTCGTTGTTTGTGACACTGCAGCAAAACGTTTGATTGAGAGCTATTTAGTTTCTGCTTCATGGCTGTGTATGCTTCGTTTCTTTTTTTCTGTTTCTCGTTTTATTCACTTGGAGGATACATTCAATTTCTGCTGGTAATGGCAGGTTTTAGCGACTAATGGGAAAGCATTTTTTTCTGATTTGGTGAATTTAGATTTTCAAAGGTTCGCTTAAATGAATAAATGGGTCACAAGAGCTACAATTCTTAATTGGTGATTGACAAACTCAGAACAATAAACATATTACAGATCATTTAAGTTGATAAATGAAGAGGGGAGAATTCAAATATATTTATTGAAAGATTTAATATTTATTGTATTCCATTTAATTTTATTTTATTTTATTTTATTTTATTTTATTTTATTTTATTTTATTTTATTTTATTTTATTTTATTTTATTTTATTTTATTTTATTTAATTTAATTTTATTATTTTATTTTTTATTTTATTTTATTTAATTTAATTTTTTTTATTTTTTTTTTTTAAATTATTTTTCTTATTTTATTTTGCTTTGTGTTGTTTGATTTTATTTTGTTTGATTTAACTTTTTAGTTTACTCTTTTATTTACTCTTTTTATTGTATGTTATTTTACTTTATTTCGTTTTTTATATATGCAATTTTTTTATATATAAAATATTCTTGAAGAAACGTTTATTCGAATATGTAATTTTCACTCACCTTGCCACGCGAAGCAAAACAGCAACATCATCATAGTGAGAACTCCCTTCGAGCTGTCAATGGAAAATGATGAGCGTATTGTTGCTGTTTTTGTCGTAACAGTTGCTTTCGATGGCTTCGCTGCTGCTTGTAAATTGGTGCTCCTGTCGCTACAATTTCTAATCACAACGGAATGTTTGCAATCTTGCATTTTTGTTGCACTTTCACTTGCCATGAAATTGTCTTCTTCACACCCTACTGCACATGTGTGTTGTTGATATTTACACTTTTTATTGTTATTGGTAATGTTTCGCTTGGTAAGGCGCAGTTGCGAGTTGTCGTCTTTCATGCAACAATGTGTTAGCGTCGTTGATCGTTGGTTGCTACTTGCCACTGCACTAGGTGTTGTAATTGTTGCTGTTGGAGTTGTAGTTGTAGCAATGTAATCAACATTTTTACCACAACGTTGAATATTATCGCTAATGCTGTTGCATGTGCGCAACTTGCAACACCCACTGTCAGCGTCATCAGTCATTGCTAGGGTTGTGGCAGCTGCCATGTTGCCAACTATTGTCTCACTAGCAGTGAATTCTGAGTTGCTGTTATTGTTGTTGTTGCAATTTTTAATGTTCATTTTGTTGCTTTGCTGTGAATGTGATTGTTGTTGTGAGTTGTCGCACAAATACACTTCATTTCCGCATTTGTTTTTGTGAATTTTGCATTTTGTGCGCGAATTGTTGCTGGTATTTACTATTTACTTTTGGTTATTGTTGTTGTTTTTGTTTTTGTTTCACTTTCACTTGCGAATAGATCAACGCGAAATCACGACACTTGTCACACTGCGAGTTGCTGTTTGTTGTTGTCTGTACTGTTGCTGATGTTGCCTGTGTTCGCGTTGTTGTTGTTGTTGTTGTTAAATTTTGTTGCTGCTGCTGCTACTGTTTGTGTTCGCGAAACGAGTTGTCGCCTTAAATTGCATAATGTAAGTGATGCCCACTTGACATTAATTAAGTGCGAAGAACACGGCAAGCAGACAGGCGGACAGACGGATAGTTAGGGTGAGACGAGCTGGAAGCGCACAGATAGTTGCCCCAACCGCAACACTGGCATACGTCAAGCTGCGTTAAGCTGTTGCGTGTGTAATTATGTAGGTACAATTCAGACGTTTTTGCGCAACACAGACGGAGTGTCACCAGCGGCGTTGACACTTTGTCACTTTTCACAATTTTTTTTTTGAATTTGTTTAATTTTTGGTTTTAATTTTTTGCGCTTTGCGACGTCTACATTTATATATGTATGCGTCCTAGAAATATTTTTAGCTCTTCTGGTGAGTAAAAGAAAAACACGAAGCACGATTTAGTCACCAGTGAGGACTTTTTAGTATTTTTCTATTTTTAAAAATAATTTTTCTTTTCTTAATTTTTATACAAAATTATTTTATGGTTTTATTTTCGTATTTTTTCCACAACTTATGATTTCAATTAGAAAAAACCGCTTATTATTAGCTCTTTAAAATATTTTATTCAATTATTGTATTTTTTTTTTTAGTTTATTATTTTTCAACTTCTTAACACATTTTATATTTCTTTTAAATTTTGTATTAAAACCAATATTTTCTTAATTTGCTAATAATATTTTTTAAATTTTCCACACTTTTAATAGTTTAAATTACCATTTACCGTTATAATTAAGTTTTCAAAATTTTTTAATACATTCTGTTCACCCTGTAGTTGAAGCACTTTTACATTTTTCGTGAATTTCTACTATTGTTCATTTGTCAAATTGTTGTACTTTACGCTCTTCCGCTAACACTAACGCGCTCCGGAACCGTCAAATATACGACTAACCGCACGAACAAGCACGAACGCCACTTTACCGCCAGTTAGCTCCACAACACAACACAACACATCCAGCTGCGCTCCAACACCGTCAGCTACTCTGCTTCAGTGGCTGTTGCTGGATGTCGCGCCCTCAAAATGTTGTCACTTCGCTGCCGACAGCCAGTCGTGTACAAACACACACATATGGCGCACCCACACGCGCGTTCAGTCTTCACTCGTTTACTTCGTTTGTTGGTTTTCCTGTCTGTTGCTTGCAACTTCCACTTCGTTTAACACGACGACGACGACGACGACGACGACGCTGCCACCATCAATACCCAGCGTTCATATTGCTTTGCTGCTGGTGGCTGAAATGCGTAGCAACATGTTGCTAAGCAACTCTGTGTACAAATATGTTGCGTTGGAAGTGTGAAGTTTCCAGTGTGGCAATTTCACTTGAGTTGAGCCAATTTCCTTTGCGACAATGAGTACACACGCTACGTTTTACGTTTTACATTTTTTTTCTTTGCACATAATTGCTCTTGCTTTTATTTTTGTTGCTGTTTTGTCTCTGTTTAAATAAATTTTGCACGCTCGTGCGGCATGAATATTCGCGTTTGATTTGTTTGCTTGGCTAGACTATTTTATTTTGCTATTGCTGCTCTCATTTGTTTAAACATCTAACTAACATTTATATATTGTTGTTTCTATTTTTGTAAACTGACGCTTACACGTGCGAGTTCATATTTTTTACATTTGTATGCACCTTTTGAAAAGCCATCAGTTATTGATAGCTTTTTTTGCTTGCTTTTCCACTTGTTATACGTTTATTGCTGTTACTTGTAGCTATGCTGTAGTTTAGATTTGAAAAGTTGGGCTATAAATATAAAGAAAAAATTATAATTATTATTACTTCGATGTCATAAACACGTGCCGCCAAAAAAAGAATCTGTACAAAGGTAGTTCAATTCTATTTTGATTGGTATTTCTTATTCTTTCTTGAGGATTTGAATTTTTGAATGTAATTTTAGCCATAAAGCAACCATGACATGAACTCAAATAGGAGTTTTATTTTTCTTACAACAACAAAAACAACAACACTTACTACTTGAAAATGTAGATGTAGAGATTTTACAAATTACCAACAGATCTAAGGTTTTCTTGTACATTTGTACATATCTGGGTGAAATAAAAACTTTAGTACAAAGCTTTTAAAAATTCGCAAGAAAAAGTTATAATGAACATTTATATTCTGTTAGCTCACAGCTGAGAAGGTAGTTTCGACACTTATTTTAAAAATTACCGCCAATCCAGGAATATAGTTCCTCAAATATTTGTTTTTTTTTTTTTGAACTCAAAATTTGTAAACCTCTATATTATTTTGCCTTTAACATCTATTGGACGATTATTATAGCAAATTGGCCTCAGAAAGGAAACACGCTCATTATTTTAAGAAAGGTTTGTGCCAATACGATACTCTGGTGTTGGAAATATCAGATCCCTGTTACTCTGGTACCTCATTCTGGGACACTTCAATTTCTTTCTATTAAAAAGTAATCGATGATTCCACTGACCCACAAACCACACCAAACCATTGGTTTTTTGTGGATGAAATGGCAGCTCTTGAATTTCTTTAGGTTGCTCTTCGTTCCAAATGTGAAAATTTCTGCTTGTTTACATACATATTAAGCCAGAAATGAGCCTCATCGCTGAACAAAATTTGGCTCGAAAACGTTGGATCTTCTTGGAACTTTTTAGAAGCCCCTAAAGCGAAGCGAAGTCTTATTTTGTACGCTTTCATTTTATGATCTCCACGTAGAATGCACCAAGTCGTCCCATACGTCAGTCGGAGTTGCGGCTATCAAAAAAAGGCTATTGGAAAAAGTACGTCTCCTCAGATCACCCGTTACAAGTGCGCTTGGTTTACGCTAGATGGCATTAGAAAGAGAATGTTTCGTACTAAAAAAGTTAATGAGAGCAGTGTTAATCACTTAGCTCAGTAGAGTTTGAGAGCATGACAGGAATAGACAACAGCAAAGGGAAAATATACAAAATTCTACAACTCTCCGTTGATAAAGGACTCATGTTAGGCAACTGAAAATATCAATAGTGTTTATCGTCATGATAATGTTGCAGTCAATCATTCACATTTTGGTTTCATCCATTGCACAAAAAACAGTTTGGAATCAAGAGAAAAATGCTGGAAACACATAGAGGTTCGATGCATTGGTGCCAGCTGAGCTAACGAGAAAAATCTTCCATATCGGATAGTGAGTGGTGATGAGAAGTGAATCATTTACTGCAATGTAAAATAAAAGCGGTCGTGGTCGTAAGGCAAAAATGGTCTGCAAGTCGAAATTGGCAGCCCGGAAGGCTTTGTCGGGTATTTGATGGAATTGGCGTGGAATTATCTACCAATCTTTTAATTATACTGTGAGCAATTGGGTCGTCTGAAGGCAGCAATTACCAAGAAATACACATATTTGGCCGACAGGCGACTCGAATCGATAGTGATTCGCGAGAAGCTCAGAGAGTATATGTTAGAGGCTTCTATGCATCGATCTTATAGAGCACACATTGCATCAATTGATATTCATCTGTTTCTGTATGTGGCTGGTGGGGAATTGGCGTCAAAGGAAAATCGATTGCCCCAATTTTATGCCAATAGAAACAAGGGTTCCTATGAAAGAGTCATAATGGCGGTGCATATTTAACTAAAATCAGATATTTGGATAGAAAGTTAGAGTACTATGAAACTGAAAGATTCAAATTATACTTTATACAGTTTCAGCCACTTAAATTCATTTCTAGAAAGATAAAGTAGAACTGGCCTTTTTGACAATATGAAAATCATTTGTTTGTTGGTCTTACTCCCAATGTACCCATGCGGGCTTATAAGGTAGCATGATACACGAATGCGCTGAAACACCTCAATACTTTCAAATATATATTTTACAAAAACTATTCTAGAAATTTATACTATTATTATAATTAGGTAAAATTTAAAGTCTTGATAAAGCTCTTTACAACATATACAGTTGTAAGTATTAGATGATTACTTAATATTCACGATATAGCCGTGGCGTTCAAGCCCAACTCATTAGCAATCATTATTGTGTCAATCGTGGGTCTTCGTCAAATTTTCGATATCACCAGAGCTACAGTGACGTTATCAGTATAAGCTTTCGATCGACCTTTTCGGGACTCAACCTCTACGGTAAAATGTCCGATCTGCAGTATTCAGAACCATTCAGAAACAGGCTTTAAAGACGGTGAAATCGTTCCGTATGCAATTTCGCGTTCACTGAATATTTGTATTGGCTGTGTAAATACGCCGAAACCTGAGGAGAAACACATGGCGAGTTTCTGCATGCGTTGGTGGTGGAATTTGGTCTGACCTTTCCTGGGCTATTCTGCTTTTGTTTATCCCCTCGTATAAACGTGGTGTAACCGCCACCGTGTTAATTACAATTTTATTCGCGGCACTGCACATAATTTTTACTGTTTTTGTTTTTCTTTTATTTTTTGGGAAAAATTTCATCCTAAATACATCACGGCAATTTTATTCATCTCAGCTCAATAGATCTCAAGTGTTGACCTTTCTGCAAATACACGGTAAATACCTCAAACTTTAAAAGCAGGCTAATTGAATAAAATTCTCCTTAAATTCCATAAAAGTATTTTGAAATTGTTACACAAAGCTCAGTACTTCAACGAGTCTACTATAAGCTCGATGAATAAGTAATTTGATCATAAATACTTTACAACACAAGGAAATCCTTTTAAAATACTTGTATGTACATATATCATGAATATATACATCTCTCCTATAAAAGGAAAAGGCACTCTGCATATTGAAGTGCAGCATTTTAAATCCTTTTCTGAGCATTTCTTTGGAACTCATCAAATAACTGAAGAAAGAAACACAAACAGACAAGCAAAGTGAGCAAACAAATCGAAAAGTCCAATATGAAACGTTTAAAAGGTAATTCCACGTTTGCAAAACAGCATTTACATATGAATTTTCGTATTAATTGAAACAACAATAATAACAACAACACTAATAACTCCATTTCAGCAATATGAATTCGCCTTCAACGCATTTCCTGTTCATTTAAGAGCAATCAAAATATGAAAACATTAATGATGTATATTTTACATGCCTACTTGCCACAATCTGTGGCATCATCACCCAATGCCAGCCTGTTGCAAGCTGTTCGTTTATATAGAGTATATATGTGAGTGTGTGTATTTTATGAAAAATAAGGCGAAATCAAATAAGCAAATAAACAAACCAAACGATTAAAACGTAAACAAAAGGCAATCAAATTGAAGTGGATGATGCTGCTGCTGCTGCAGAGGAAATACTACTGAGCAGCAAACAGGGTAGGCTGTTAAGAAGGGGAGGAATGTCTACCAGCGCATATATGCATTCTATTCTATTG